AAATTATTAGTGTGCCAAAATTCCCATTTGTATTCAGAGTGAATTTTGTTCTGTTTAAGAAACAGGCACTAGTCTAAGAACTCTTTTTTTAAGTTAGTGGACTAGGCCATGTATGAAAAGCCTATGGGGAAGTGGTTTTGTTTTTCTCACAGAAGGCTTCTAGAGACTCAGACACTTTGCTTCTGAAGTCATAATGGATTGGAGGCTGGTATGCTCCTAAATTTAGCACCCAGCATGGTGCCAGGCATAACTAGACCGTTTCTCCCTGGCGTGGGAGTAGCGACCCTGGCCCCTGCATGGGAAGACTTGCCTTGGCGGAGCCTGCGGGACCTTGAGCTCATCCCTTCACTTTACAAACAAGATCCCTGCGGGGATCTTCCGGGCCATGGGCTCTGCCTGGCATCCCAGGGGATGTCTTACTCCCAGGTTCATGCCTTGTCCCCACAGCAGGCAGCCACCTGCGCCAGTCAGGGCCAAGCTCCATCTACAACCTGGGGCACTGCTCCCCTCAGAGCCTCAGTTTCCCTAGCAACGGTGAGTAGATTGAACTAGATCATCTCTGAGGTCTCTAGGTCATGCGTAATTCTTCGTTTAGGATCGAAAGCCTCAGTTTTCCATAATCCCTGCTTATATTTAGTGAGGGTGATAGCTTTGCAAAATAGCTACAGTTTCTAAAATTTGAAGTTGTAAAAAAAAAGAATAGAGTCCAACACTGAAAGCTATGAGGTGATGCCAGTAACACAACAGATGAGAAGGTTATTCTTTAAAAATTCCAGCCATACAATTTAATTTTATATTTCGCCTTTCTATTTAAGAGAAAATAACACAAGCTTGAAAAGCAGTAAATATGTAAAGAGAAAATTTGTCAACTGGTATTGGAAGCTCTGACCCAGCTCACACATAAATCTCCCAGACGAGAGCTGCAGGGCACATCATGATTTCCCAGAGTAAAAGAGAAAATGAAAGCTAGAGCTGATGTCTCCCAGTTAAGAGATAGGTTTGTTCTGGTTTCCTGTTTGTGTCTCTGAATAGAATGAGTGGGGCTAGGGACCCAGCCTGTCTCCCCATGGCAATAAAAGCCCTCTGCCAAAAGAGGGACACAGACAAGGCACCCAGAGCTGTTTTTCCTCCCCAGAGGCGCCGGCTAAATAGTTGAGGCCCCACAAACAAACTTTTGCACCAGTAGTTTCCTTCCCAGCATCATTTTCTGCAGTCATAAGTCACGTCTGACTGCTGACTATATGGTCCTGTAAGGAAGCGTGTGATAAATGTTACCACTGTGACACTGAGACCTCGCTGATGCTTGTGGCTGCCTATTACAAAGTCAGCCATCCCCATTTAAACCCATGCGGGCCTCATGAAAGGACAGAATCTATCAGCTGAGAAGAGGGAAGGATGTCGTTTGATCCATGTGTCAAATGCCACTGGTTCTAGAGACAGGTCAACCAGGTGTGTGGCTGGAGCGATTCCTGTTCTGTTCGTTGTCCCAAAGCACTAGTTAGACATCAAGAACACCAGCAGCAGCTTGTGGAAGTGGACTGGAATAAGTTGGTTAAGAACAGTAGTTCTATGTGGTGCTGTGTGGTGTCCCCCAGCCCTAACCATGTGATTGTGCTCCTCTGAACTATGTTCTCATGCCGCAGAGTGGGGCAGAACCTAGAATAAAGACAGGTACTGCAAAGCTCACATTTTATAGTAAGTACTCTTAGCACCACTTTTAATGTGCTATAAAACTGGGGGCTTCACTTTTTCATGAACTGTGTACAAGTGCAGAGGCACTGACTGGAGGTCGACTGCTCAGATCTGTTTTATGGCTCCGTGCCTGTACGATAATGTGATCTTGAAAAAGGTAAACAACAAGGAGTTTAGCAGTGAAAAATATGCCTAATATAAATACAGTCGAGTGCATGGCAGCTCAGAATTTGAAAAATATGACTGTGGCATTAAATTTTCTGGTGGAATTAACAGAGGAACAAAATACAGCCTTCAAGGCAATATATCTGAGACAGAGAAAGGAGATAATACATCTAACTCTATGGCCTATGTGGCATTCATATAAAGAAAAGCACAGTAGCTTTATTTAATTGAGAAAATGAATCAATTACAATGATGTCGCATCATCAAATTCTTGTGAAATGGAAGATATAAGTCACTGCATTGTGTAACAGTGTTAAAAAGTAATTGAGTATCTTAAGCATTTTGAATCAATTTCAGGTACTGGCCCCCACTACCTTAATACAAAATTTATGAAGATGATTTCATATAATATGTTACTATCAAAACTGTATAATAAAACCTGGTAACAACATCTCTCTTTAAAAACCTGGGCAAAATGTTAGAGTTATAAGATCATATAAAAGACATTGATATCACTGTTTTCCTCTTTCTTATAATAAAATAATGCAGTTTTAAGTTGTCTTAAGTCATGCTTTTGTCCTGCAGAATAGGGCAAGGCAGAGGCCTTCTCCACGATCTCAGGTTGAGAGAAGACATTCCCCCT